TGGGGTCCCCTTAAAAGGAAACTTACACGTCTTCCAGGAATCTCTGCGGAGCTTCTATCCCCGTCTTGGAAGTGTAATAATCCCTCGCTTGGCCCCACTTCCCACCCTTCGCTTGAACTCGGAACCCTTCGCCTTGGTTTCTTAATGAAACCACCAAGGGGAATGAGACAGTTTCCCTTGGAGTGGGGGCGTGCCATTTGCTGGGGGTCTCAAAAGGAAAACCACTTTTTGTAGGGTCCCCTATTAAGGCACATGCCCATGAAACATCTGAGCATCTTTTCGGGTCGTTAAGGAAAACCATGAAAATAATGGTTAGCCCAGCTTAAGTGATGAAACTCTGCAGGCAAACAATGGTTACACTAACTCACTCACTTTCTATCTGGATTGGCCAAAACAAGTCCAAACTCTTTGTTTCCCACCAAACTCATTTTCCAATAAAGCGACTATTGGGAACTCAGGGAGTGAGCTACAAACCATGGTTTCAATGGCTTGAACTGTCCTATTCTCTTGGTTGCTGTTGACCCCTCTGCAAACAGTGTATATAGCTTTGTGTCGCTCAATGGACAAGTAACTGGATTCCAACCAAAAAGATCGTCTAAAGAACAGGCACAACGGGAATCGAACTGAAGTGATCTGGAGCGGTTTCATCTCCACACCTCCACACCTCCGCACTCCAGCGGGCTCCAAACCGAACAAAAATCCGAGACTAGGTCCTCCAGATTTGAGAGGTTTGAATAAGTTGGAACCTGTTTTTGTTTTTCTGTAGTCTATTTTAGTAGGGGAACCCTCCCAACCAAAGAAGGGCTGCAAAAGGGCACCAAGCTGGGGGACCCTAGTTTTGATATTTTTTATACCAGGGGTGGCAGAATTAGACTGGGAAATCGGGGAGGAGCACTTAAACCAAAAAAGAAACGACAAAAGGGCGCCAATTCCTGGGGATCTGGGAGACTCTTGGAGCCACGGCGCCGGTGTGTTGGGCACCTCCGGCCCCAGCACCTCCAGCAGCTTGGCCCAGTGGCTGCGCAGAGGCTCCGCCAGCGCCGCCAGCTCCGGCAAGTCCCTCCGGTGATGCGGTGCGGTGGCTGGGTTTTCTCCGACCAAAAGAGTGTTCACCCCAAAAAACGACACCCGCTCAAATGTGGCGACTTGCTTTGAAAGAGTGAGAACCCCTCCAACCTCCAAAACTCATGTCTTGAGTGTGGCCGTCCCAGGAGGTCCAAGTGTCGAGTCCAGGAACTCAGGAAGTATTGAGGTTGGTCTAGCTGATCACTTTGTCTTGATTCAAAGAAGACTAGCCAAAGAACCAACTCAAACCTGCAATGCCTCTGTGGAAGCACCGACCCGCTCAAAAAAACGAAAATGTCTCGTTGCCGCCGTGCAAAGGGACTGGCTACATGGCTTCTGCGTGCGCCTGGGACCTCAAGAGCCACTCGCCAACAGCGGACATCCCAAGAGCCACGCGCCGAAGACGTGGCATTTCTGAGGGAGTCTCGTTTAGTCCAGTCTTGGTTTAGTGTTCCGATTTGGGTGGTCTTCCGCTGGAATTCTGGAATTCTGGAATTCCGTCGAAGGCGCAAAGATGACTGACTCCGTTCTTTCTGTTTGTGTCAGGTGTTTTCAATGACTGCTATGGGTGTGCTGGCTGTCCTTGAGAACATGCAGGTTTAGAGGGGCTTACTCACTGTGTAGGGCACACGGCTGAACCTTCAGGTTGTAAACGACTGGATGAAAAAGCCGACCAATTTGTCTCAGATGTTTAAAATGTTGGCCCAAGCCAAGCGACAAGCGACAAGCATCAACCAGTCTCTGGTGATACGACGGCCCTGGACGGAAGACCAGGTTCAAAATGTTACATTTGTTTGACTGTCCTGCCCCCCCCGGCTTGGAATGAAGGGAACCAAATGGCTGTGGTGTCAAATCAAAGTTGACAGTTCATGGTCAAACACATAGGGTTGAAACGGGTTTCTGGCTGCCCCGGAACTTAGGTTGCTCTGAAGCTTGGCATTCTTGCAGCATGGGCCAATACTGCGCGCTGGCCTTTTTGCTGTTCAACTTGGAAACCAACAGGGAGGAACATGTTTTTTTTGTTGACACCCTTATTTTGTCACCTAGCTTGAGTTTAGGTTGTTTCTGGAGCTCGCAGGATCAATTGGATCAAATCCAAAGAGAGTCCAAGCAGCTCAGTTACTTTAATGGCCAATCTGTGAATGTCCTTAAAAGGTCTCAAGAGGTAACTTGACCTTCAAGGAGTGTCCGTTGATAATTTGCTGAAGCGGTTTCAGCTTCGCCATGTTAAACTTGTTTCGACCGCCAAGACTTTGGAACACCTTTCGGGCTGATTTGAGCGCTGGGATCGGATGGCACTCTGCCCCCGAAAGAGCAACCCTGGTACCCTTCAAACTGAGGCGGGGGTCCTTCTGTTGAGTTTTAAGTGACAAAGACTTTGGGCAGTTTCTACACTCGGGTTGATAGGGCCTGGTTCCTAGATGTGGTAGCGTTTTTGGCGGGGCGTGTTGTTTGTTGCCGTCACTTTTTGCGGCCGAGAAGGGCAACGGATCCCACCGAGCAAAGAAGAACCCCCCGGTCCCGCCACCCGGCCCGCCTGTCCAGCGGCACGGAGGCCGCGTAGCGCCTGGCAGCCTGGGAGGTGGTCAGCTCCTGGATCACGTCTTTCAGCACCTCGATGGGAAACTCGGCTTGTCTCAACTAGGTCCTCCAGATTTGAGAGGTTAGAAGAAGTTGGTGCCCACTTTTTGTCGGTTTTGTGTATTGTAGTAGGGGGTTTCCCTCCCCCAAAAATGTTGGGAGAGAAGGGCACTACTATGCACTACTGGGGGACCTAGTCAAGATGGACCCCGAAAAAATGAGCGGGTTCCCTTTTGGTCTCCCGTAACGGCGTCCAACCCCAACAGCAGAAATTACCCTACCTCCCAAATGCCAGAAAGCTCCTGGTGGCATTTTGGGAGGGTTCCCTGCTCGTGGCTATCCCTCATCGGTCAGCCAGTCAAGGTAGTCCCCAGGTCCCGGAAGCTTCGGAAGGCTAAGCCAAAGGCTGAAAAATTGGAGGCTACCCTGGACATGCCCCTGCCGTGGCCCAAATTTCAGTGTCCCTTCCTTGCCACGTGGTCTTTGGCGGTGAGCGAGGGACTTTTCTACTTCTCAAAGAGTGGTCAAAGGTCAAATCAAGGACTGCCCAAACGGCCTGGAGCCAAACGGGTGTGACTTTGGAACCTTGGTTAAAAAAGTCACTAACAAGGATAAACCGAAAGGCCAAAAGGTTGCCCTTGCGGCATCAAATTGATCAATGGCTGATTTCGGTCCTCAGCCCACATCGCTTGCATCCCCAGCATCGCCAACATCATCTGCAACGGGCAAAACTTACTCATTGTCCGCTCCATCCCCCCCCCCCACCTACTATTTTAACATCAACGTCTATCAACCTAAAGGTCGCTTCCGTTATTCTGAATAAACGGATATCTTAGCAAAGGGCCTTGATCATGGTGAGCTCACTTTACTCCAAGGCGAGCTCGAGCTCGCTGTACGAAAGGAAAACCACAGGCCATGGAAACCGCAAGCGAGGCCCCACAAGCCCCGCTTTCAGTTGGGGCTCCGCCAACTCCGCATCCTCGTAGGGTGCTTTGCCCTTGCGCACGTCACCAAAGGTGCGCTCCTCATTGGCATTATTTAGACGACGGTGGTGGAGTGTTGTTAAAACAGGTTTAACATCTTGCCATACAAATATGCTAGACCACATATGCCCAAACCTAGATTCTAACCAGGCTTCGCGTGCTTGCACAAATGAGAAGGACCGTTGAGCTGATTCATTGGGAAAGGAGCTGCCATCCACCTAGGGTTTCTTGCGTTGCCCCGTGAATCTTGGGGCAAAGTTCGTGTACCTTGGCTTACCTTCGGAAGTTTCCGACCTTCACGTTCGCGGAGGTTCCCCGGGCCCGAACACCGTGCCCGGCCAAAAGCTCCGACCTTGGAACGGCACAGGTAAGGAAATGCTTTGCTCACAACGGCAGCAGGGGAAATGTAAACCGGCAAGGGCTGTGGTGGTCTTTGACTGCAAACAATTCTCCGGCTCTTGATGGCAATTACAAGGCTAGTTCGGTTAAGCGAACAGGAAAGGGACAAACATGCCAATTCTATGTCAGGGGCGAACACCGTTTCGGATGGCTTCAAACAGACCAAGCAATAAAATTGGGGGTCCAACAACTGCTGAGACACCCCGTCTTTGGGGGTACCATTTTTGGGACCAAAGGCAAACCAAACGTTTTGGGCCGAGGGGTTGGCTCTGACTGTGATGTCACTGTTTGGCTTCCCAAACCCCCCAGCCAGGGAAAAAACAAAAAACAAAGCTGCCCCAAATCCTCGGACGAAGTTGTTCCAATAAAAACTAACCAGAAGAAAAGGGGGCTAAACACGCCTTGACCCCTCCCAAAACAAAACGACTTGGCATGGGGAACTTGTCCTGGTCTTGGGCAGTTTCCGACCGCCCGCGAAGCTGCGTCTCCGTCCTTGGGATCTTCCAAGAAGCTGGACCGCACACCCAGGAAGCTGAGCCGCGCCTGAACAAAATCGGCAGTGGGCCCTGACTTGATCACGCAATTGGCAGGAGGAAGCTGGAGGCATGTTTCTGGGGTTTAAATACAAAGGGGGTCTGGCAACTGTGGGTACCTTTAGGGAAATTCCAGCACATATGGGCACCGAGTTGTTTGAGGGTACAGCTAAATAATTTTAAAGGCAAACCAAACGGAAAACCACCATCTCGAGGCTCCAAATCCCAATTTTGACCCATGGTGTGTCTTGTTTGGCAGTCGACTTTTCCGTGGTTGGAAAGAACATTGGTACCTGATGAAACGAAAACATTCAAGGAACAAACCAGAGCTGTACCCCAGGCTTTCTACCAAAGGCCAGGAGCGGCCCTGATTTTGAGGCTCCGGGTCGGTACCCTCTCTTAGATCCCAAGTTGCATCAACTAGCGGTCTGTTGCAGTACGGTAATCAATCGGCTCCGGAAAACTTCCATATCCGCCTCTTTTCGTAGCCTCGAGATGAGAAAATATACGGAAATGGTGGGACCAATCGGCGCCCCGCAAACCTTCCGCGCCTTGGGCAAGCGCACTGCAACCTGATCGCAATCGCAACCGCGGAGCAAACTCAAAGAACGACTTTGCTGGGGGCAATGCATGGTATAGAGCTGCTTTTTAATGAAGGTGTACCCATCCCTATGAATGAATCACCTTTTCTGATTCTGGTCCATATGAAGGCAAATGCCGTAAAAGGTCCCAAAAGGCATTGGATGGGGTCAGGGTGATCTTTTGCGCCCGCGTCCGGCCGGTTTGGCATAGCATCTCCTTCCAAGGTATTGCCAGGGCCTCAATACGGGGAAAACCAATTCATAGGAGAAAACTGTACGCAATCATGCCCATGTTGCGCTCTTTCCAATCAAGCAGGGAGTGGTTGAAAAGGGGGGTACGCCTCCAAAACCCTCAGATCCTCAGCCATAAATGTCGGGAGGGTACGCGCCTTGTTTCATATTTTTGTTCCGCCTTTTGAACACCCTCCAAGACACCGGCCTTGCGTACAATCACCTGATACCGGAAACTTTTAACCATCGCGCACAGAACGACCCCTGGTTTGCTTTCAGCCGCTCCCCAAACAGTGTCTTCTCAAAACTCTGAACATGGGTCACAATCAAAACCCGGTTTTTCCAATGGCCTACCCAAAGGAACTACAGATTCTGGTTGGGATCGTCCCTTACCCTCCAATTACCCTGGTTTTGACATGACTAGAGTTAGGCCCAGTTATAGAATGTATATATTTTACTATTTGCTTCACTTTGAGTCATTGGTAAAATGTAAAATGTATCCTAAGTCTACCCCAGTTGAGTGTGAATCACATGCTGTCGACCCCTTCAGACGGAGCGCCTGACGGTGTCCGCAAAGGTCAGCCAGCTGGATCAAATCCGGCAGCGGTGCAAGGAGAGCGCTGGGCAGCACGCCTGTCCAAAGGTGGCACCCTTTCAGTTTGAACAAATGGCAGTGGTTGTCAAAAATCGGTACCCCAAATGGCTTGCCCAAGTAAGTGGAAACATGGACCAAAACCTGCGGTCAATATCCTGGTGGTTGAATTTTGACCCATACCCAAATCAAAATTCAGTGAAACAAAACAATCTTCCATGTGCTTGAGCCCCCTGGAACAATATATAAAACAAAATCCAGTAGTGACAGATTCCTTTTAACACCAAAAGGGGAACATAGCAAACATTTGTAAGCAGAAGTTATCCTCCCACCCTATAAAGGGAAGATGGTCAAAACCAGGATTTCCCGAACGTCAGGTTCCACGCTAATTGGTGGGAGAGTACCCATCCCCTGTTGCATTCCTGAAGTCAAAGCGGATTGGGGCACCCCTTTTTTGGGGCACATGTATCGCCCCACCAAAACAGTCAAATCATGTTGAATCATACGCCCCAAGATACAGAGGCTGACTGGCTCTTGGAAACGTGTCGAACCATTTTGGGGTCTTCATTAGTCGGGGAAAGCAACTTTAACTGAAAGAACATGGACAAAAAGAGGGAGGCACCACTGCACAACAAGGATGCTGGCAGGTTGAACCTCACATAGCTTCCGAAGTAAAAACACATCTCGTCTTTGCAAGGCAGTGGTGATTGTCTGATGCCAGCAACATTGTAATGTGTACAGCTGCCAAAGAAAGGGGAAGTCTTTGATTCTGCGAGCATGTGGCACATGGGAAACGGCTATCATGCACACTGGGTACATTCCTCCATGGCCCGCACAACGCATCGACGCTTTGTAGGATACTGAAGGATCTGAGTAAACTGATTTGATTCCCGAGCTTGAACTGAGCCCAGTGGCCAAGGCGAAGACATCACATCCTTTTTTGCAGACCCCAAAGCTTTCAGCTGAGGAAAACTGAAAAAAATCCGCCCATTCGGCGCTGATTCGGCGCTCATTCATCCCGCCTTCCGAACCAAGAATGGCGGGCCAGCTGTCCTGACAAATGGAAGCCAGAGCCGGGGTTGCCCTCCAGCGCCCGGTTTTGGGTGCGTCATGTGTTGAGGGTACCCGTTTTTGGTGGGCTTTTTAAGGGAAACCACAAGGAAAGCCACCAGTTTGGAGGGCCCCTGAAAAACAACAACACACACATATTAAGATTTCTCCTGCAGCCCCGAAACAGAGTATATTGACAGGTTGGCAGGAATTTAGGGAGGCCCCTGAATATCAGCCCTTTGCGACTGGCTGGGGGCTTCTCCAGAATGCTGTGCATACCCGCTAACAAAGGTCGTGCCCCCCCTCCCTTGCCGGGTAACTAGGGGTTCTGAAAAAACCAACGGGCTTTCCGCTCGATGCTCCTCCCCCGCCCCTGTGGGTGCACTCCGAAAGGGGGGGCTTGAGGTTCCCAGATCAATGCACTAGATTCATAGGCCTATAGGGTGAATAAGGTGTAGGATTCCCGCAAGAATTGGTTCAACAAGGTTCAGGCTGTGGGTTCCTCCTTGGCCCTTTCGAGATGACCAAGGGGCATCACTGGGCAGGGTGCCTCCAAAGACCTTGCCACACAAACATCCCGCGCTTTGAACAATCAAAATGACCAGCGGTTCGGAAATTCCGCATACCAATCAAATGAATCCCACGAGAATGGTTCTCTCAAAGACACTTTCCCACCGGTGACTATGGTTCTTTCTCGATTGAACCGTGGATAGTCATGTTGACCCAAATTCAAGCTGTCGGATTCATTCAGGGGGTTCTCCCAACCACAAGCAAATAACTTTCTCCACGATGGGGTCGCACCACTTCACCCTATCAACCACCCAGGGTCCCCTATGAGACAGACCCATGAGGGGGTTTCTAGTCCTTTGGGCTCAAAGGTTGGCTTCCAAGAAGCCCCTTCAGGGGCTCAACCCAAAAGGTTTTTCCCAAGTCACCCCTCCCCCACCCCCAACTTCGAGGTTCCAGTCCTCTCCGAATGGAAAACGAGGGGTCGCCCCCTTCCGCTTCACTTCTGGCTGTGCAAAAAGTTCTCAACTTGTGTGTTCGTTGGAAAATACAAGTCAAAAACGTCAAACATCCAACCTCCAGTTTTTCAGATCCAAACGCTTACCATCCCATTTGGGGTTCCCTTTCACCCCATCAAATGAAAAGGGGGGGGAGGGGAAAGCACCACTGGGGGGAAAAGCACCCGCAAAGGTGTCCCTTGTCGAAAATGCCCTAAATGGAAGACCAATCTAATCCAGATCTCATCTATTTTTAATCACTCACTTCTAAAAAGAAGTAAACCCATACCTTCCAAACCCAAAAATCAAAGCCACCCCACCAGCACCCGGTTCTTTTTTTCTCCGGTCTCCAAACCAAAACCACCCATTCAGGGGATATCTGACACCTGAATCCTGGGCTGCCCTCAGATCCCCCGCCAAAAGTTGACCTTTTAGTGGATAAAATTCGGAAACTACCACTAAACACTAAAAAGCTCTAAAAGGCTCAGGAAACCCACTAAACACTAAAAATATGTAAAAGGCTAAGCAACCGGATGGCTGGCTTCGCCACCAAGGGCTCTCGTCGTTGACCCCGTCGACCGCGTCGACCGCGTCGACTCGATCGAGCCGCGGCGACTCGGATCTGACCGCGTCGCCTGCACGGCCGCCCGCAGCTCCGAGAAGTTGGTCGGGCGCCGGGCCCCCAGCGCCGCGCAGGCCTCCCCGCCCTTGGCGCCGCAGCGCGCGTAGACAAAGCGCACCAAGGCCTCAGTTTTTCGGCGGGGGCTCCGTCCGCCTCCAGTGATCCGGGGAGGAGAGACCAACGAAAAACAAGATCTAAGCCAGACTCCGGCAACTGGACACTTGAGAGGGAAACACAAAAACAAAAGCAAGGCCAGCAACTGGACATTTTGGAGGTGACATCCTTGGCTTTTGGTGGGTGTTTTTGGCCGATGTCGTTGAGAGATTCCTGTAGCTAGTTTCTGTGAAAGTCCGAACGTGCATTTGACTTCCCCCCCTATGAAACTCAGTCCTGGAAAATATTTTCCTCCAAGAGGGACCCTCTGGGGGTGCTAAGTTCGTGGACGTAACCCCGCCCTATTCAGATCTTCGACGAGACGCTGAGCTCCTCTTTGCCGCCATGGCTCATCTCGCGCTGCGATTCGGAGATGCGCCCTTTGAGGGTTCCCTTTGGTCAATGTTCAACCCTAGGGTCTAAATAAGAGGTGTCCTCGCGAGTCTGGAGGTACATCCACGGCTGAGTTCGGGTCAACACAACATAAATATATGATGTATGCAAGTATATGTTCTTTGCTCATTTTAGTGAAGGGCAACCTTTTTTAGTTCCCAAACAACGATCCGGCTTCATGCCGCTTCATGGTCAAACAACGTGAACTATGTGCATGTTTTTTGAAAACGAAGCTCCAGGAAGCTAGCAGTGACAGGTCTGCCACTGACGGTCCCTAGTTTCTTGACAGGTAGCCGCCCAGCGACGTGGTGGCCGGCTTGCTTGGTGCTTTGTGTTGGCTGGCCTTAGCCACCGGTTGCCTAAGGGGCGAGAAGGGCCTGGTTTGTTGTTGTCTGCTTAGAGGAGATGCAAGTACAACGAAAGGACACATGGTGCCACTGAGAAACTGAGCTGTGGATGTCGGTGTTCAAAGCTCTTGTCTTGCATGTGCATTTCGAGCCCCCATGCCAGCGAGCTTTCGCGACGAAACCTCCATTTCTTGATGGGAACTCGCGGGTGCCCAAGGTCATTGATTCCCACAAACATAAATTTCCTTAGGGTCGTTGCATGGCCAGCGCTGAACGCACATAGTCAACGCAAATGAACACGCGGCTGCTTTTGCATTTTCTTTGATCGTAGTCCCATGGCCACATTCAATACCAGAAATGAAGCCTTGAGGTGACCCACTCTGTAAGTCAACTTTACAAGACTGCGCAACCAGCAGTTTTGTAAGAAGAAGCACCACTCAAGTCAGCTTCTGGTGCCCTTTTGAGGGGTCGTTGTAACCAAACGGTGGGTCTGTCCTTTTTTCGAGGGTAGCCTTTTTGGGCCTGTTTAACGGGAAACCAAAAGGGAACCCCATCCATTGTTAGTCCCCCTACTGTAAGACACCCCACCTAAACGCAAGGAAACTACAAATATCTGCACCCAAACCCAAGGGTGGAAAAAGCCTTTCAGCTGTGAGCAACACAGCATTTATTCATGCATGGAAGTGAAACATATCTCGCCTTCAACAACGGATTTCAAGCTATGCTAACTTCGGATGAATCCAGAGGACCGTACCCATCAGGGGGTTCCCTTTTAGCAGCGAAATGCCCTATTTTAAGGGGGGTTGATTGACTAGAGAGGTCCTCTGGATTAATCCGAAGCTAACATTAAACCAAACCACTGGTAAATCAAAATGCCACGATTTTTGCGCAAGTAGCCCCGGGAGCCAACAACTCGTGTTGGCATATGCCCACAAGAATGCTACAACTGGTCGAGAACACCTCAGGCGGACGCGCGAGGGCCCGAGGTTGCATTTTACACAAGTTGTGCCAACTGATCCCCAAGGTGCCCCTGGTCAACAATCCAAGCCTAAGATCTAAGCCTGTAGTACCATCGTTCCAAAGGACAAACATGTAAAACCTGACGATTCAGTGGAGCCGCCCTCCGGCTAGCTCAGCGCCGCCGCCTTTTTCTCCACGCCCGGGCTGGGTCGCTACCTGCCGGCGCGAAAGCTTTGTCCCCCGGGTCGATCTTTTGGAGGCTTCATTGGAATCTCGGCTGCTTTCTGCTCCCCTGCTAAAAGTTTAACTTTTAGTGGTTTAGTGGAAAACCCGTTAGTTGGCAAAAAGTTAAAGTCCTAACAGCCAAGCAAAATGCACCAAAGGAATACAACCAAAGGTCAAAAGATGGTCTTTTCGCGAACAGCGCTACATTTTTCCAAGAACTCATTTAACCTCACCTTGGCCTCATTCTGCATAGAAGGATGCATTGAGACGCAGCACGCACGGCACATGACAAGTTGACCTGCGAGAACTTCCACAATCCGATACTGGAAGACGCTCAGCTTCGGCTTCGCATTCTCGGTCCAGACCCATTGGAACCCTGATGAACACACACACACACACAGGTATGCACAAGTTTGAGAAACCATACTGATGCCCATCTGGTTTGTTGCTGCCAATTTAGCAATTGGGCAATTTGGCCCCTTGATGCAACGCGAATGGCAATCAAATCCAAACGCGCGTCAATTTCTTCAACGTGGAAGGGAAATAAAATCCAAGACGCACACGCACATTTCGCAACAAGCTCTTCCATAGTTCTCCTCTGGTGAACCCAACGGAGGGAACCAAAAGCGGCTTAAACATGGGCGTTTGATTGAAACGTTGGTTCCGTTCAAAAGAACCACCCAGAAACGGTACCCATGGTGCCTACTAAGACACACCCACATTTCCCTCCCACCAGGGAAGTGCCCAAACAATGTTCTTGGGGAGACTTGTGTGCACATTTGAATGTTCCATTTGTTCACATTGGAAGAGAAACCGAAGAAAACTCAAAGGAAAAGCAGAAACACCGGTTTCTTCGCAAAACCCTAAATCCTGCACCATGTCCCCTCTTTTCCCTCAACCTCTTGCACACCATTTCTCCCTAAAACCCCCAGCCGTGGATTCAATCCGCCTGGGTGCCCAGGGGAACCGCGAGTTGTCGCGCCACCAGGGCTCGCCGGCGCCGGCGCGGCCCTTGCGTCCCAGCACCGCCTCGCCGATCCGACCCCGGCGACCGCGCGTCGTCGACCGATTCGCCGACCGCGGCGGAGCGAAAGAGTTTGGTGTCGCACGAGCCAAGGAAACTCTAGACTCTGGCAGAAGGAATTGTGGGTCCCGCTTCACGAAAACAAAAGTGATAGTACTCCCCTAGCCTGGAACATTCATGGTTTTCTGCTGAAATCCGTGCCAGAGTGCAGGATGAAGAGGGTCACATGGAATCCGAAACACAGGAGTAAAGAGGAATTTCCCTTGGGGGGGTCAGCCTTTTCGGGTTCCACGTGATCTGCAGAGCAGTTGGATGCGGGACGTATGCAAATTGATTGCGGAAAGATTCAACAAACCCATGAAATAAGCTAGAAAGGCCATATGGTGGCTATGACAGCGATTGGTTCTCCCAAATATCGTGCAAATAGTTGAAATGTCTTTGCCGGCAACTTGTGTCATCCTATCTTTGAAGAGTGTTACACTAAGATTCAACAAAGGCTACAGAAGTCCAGTGAAACAGACTGCTTGGTTTCAGGTAAACATTGTAGTGACACCACGTGGGAGCAGCGCCTATAGCGACGCAAGGTTTTGTGCGGAAGTTCGGGTGGCCGCCCTCCCAAACTATCAATATACCAGTTGTTTTTCTTGCCAGGGTGTTGATCAAATAGAAATGAGTGCCACAGCTTCGCTGAAGCAGACTCCCAAAGCGATGATGGGGCGTCAAGCAGCTCATGGTTTGGACTCCCAAGAAGGGAGCAACGAAATCCGCAAAGCTCATTTAAAGCTGATGGCTCAATTTGCTTGCGATTGTTTGCGCTCAAAGGAACCCCTTCAACACGAGCACGCAGACCACAAACACCACAAGCCACAGCGGCGCCTCCTTGTATTGCGGTGGCGGATGAGATCGAAAACCAACGCCCTTTCCTCGCGGCATGCACAAGGACTTGAGAAACCTAGACCCACCCCAGTCCCCCCCCAGTCCCCCCCCAGTCCCACCCCCACTTGCCCACTTTGTTTGGGTTCCACGCGAACTTTCAGGCGAACTGTGCGCCCTTCATCTGGGTATCCCGAACCCCCAATGGCCATGGCAAACGAGGAGAGGCCTGGACACATAGTTGTGGAAAAACAAGGCCTCTGGAGGTCTGTAGCCACTTTGTTGTGGAAAATGGCTCCTTTTCCTTGATACCAACGTGTTTGATGCCCATCCCCATGCCTACTTTACCACCTTAGATTCATATCACACGAAGCGGGCGTTAAACTTTTTTCACGACACAGTGAAAATGATTACGATTGTGGGCATTGCCAGCTTCTGTGCCACTGGGAAAACGGCCTTCCTAGTGGAAGGAAATGCTTCCTGGTATCACCAAAAGTTGGAATTCCGGCATGAAATTTGCTCATCTGCTCAGGAGAAGAGTCCGGACCAAGAGAAACCCGCAAGAAATGTGTTGGCTCGCACCCAATGACATGCCAATCATACAACATGTTGTCATTTGATTACACAAATCAGACCAACGCCTGCTATTGAAGATGGGCAAATCTGTTTAACAGCAAGAATAAATGCTCGCGTTTTGTGGTAAAAGAACTGGAGATCATGATCGGTCTCTGGCCTCGAAAGGTTCTCTCATGGCCCCGGGCCAAACATGGCAAGAGGGAACAACTTCTGGGCAACCTATGGACCAATCGGGCACACCCTGACACCAAACATGGGATGTGTGGTCTTCGAAGAGTCGAGTCGGAATGGGCGTGACATGTCTACATGTATGCATCAAACCTCCTCCAATTTCATTGCATTTGCTCAAACTGCTAGAATTCTAAAGCCGGGAAAAAGGAAACCCCATAGCAAAGGGACTTCACGGTTGAGCTCAGTTTCCACCCGAATCGGCGAGCTCGTTGTAATTTGCCAAACAGAAAATGCTTCGAAAACATGTCTAAAACTTCGCCTCGAAGATCAAACCGAATCCACAATGCAAGTTGGTGCGAGTGATTGTCACGTAAAAACATCTCCAAGTCAACTGACTTGGAACCTAACTGGTAGTCGCTCGAAAATTGAATTTCAGATGGACGATTCCATGCGAATGGCTGACAGAACCGCAAGAAATCAATCGAGCATGGTCAACAAACATAAAACAGATGCGATCCAATCGGCAAAAGGTCGATTAGAATGAGGAGCAAATGTGGATCCTCTGACCACCAGTCAAACAGTGCTGCCCTTAGATAATCCGAGAAAAAGTCGAGCAAACTTGAAAGTCTGGGCCATTTTTGCCGGTTGAAAGGGACAATGACCACAGAGTTGGCATCCCAACAACCCCCCGGGAACCCTTCTGGATCCCGCCAGCTGCTCCCTTCACTCCGGATCTGGGCCTATCGACCCCAAATTTTAAACATGAGTTGGGAACAACACATGCACATGGTACGCCTTTCATTTGGCCTTCGCGAATCTGCTGGATGAACCACAACCCACCATGTAAAGCATTGATAGAATGGTCGGACAAAGGGGCGAACCTCGGAACACTTCAAACTGCCGGTTTCCCATTCAATGGTTGTGGAAAATGACCCTTTCTGCTTCATTTGAAAGAGGCTTCCCTTGGTACAAGTACCACAGAAAATGGGGAAACAAAAACAATAAAAATATAATAATAAAATCCTGCGACCGTGCACAACCAAAATTCGGCGCAAGTGGTGCTTTCTTCGCCAAGCGTCTGAGAAGCTTCACTGCATTCCAGTAAATGCGGATGGCAGTGCGTTGCGGCTGGAACCCGAAGTCCCAAAGCATGGAAAATGAGCCTGCCCAGTCTCTTGGATTCGCTCTCACGCGTCGCACTTAAGGGAAGCATTGTGGGAGGGTCCCCATGTGTCCATGTAAAGGAGAAAAATCATGCTGCGTTGCCGAGAAAACAAACGCTCAATATCGGCAACCAATAAGGTGATGTCCGAACCACCAAGAACGGGAACATATACACAACAAACCGCTCATAATATTAACGGACAGGGGGCTACAAGCAATGGAAAACCTGGATGAATGAACCCGCGCGTCTCATGAACAATGGGGGAGTGGTGAGTGCCGAAACGGGGAAAACTCTTAAATACAGTTCCAACATAAATCGGTCGTCTGTATCTAAATCGAAATGTCAGAGAGGGGTGTTTGCTTGAATACCCCCGGTTCCTGCACCCCAGGACGCTAAACAACTTTTCAAAATCCAAACCCGGGGTCTTCCACCCATTTCCCTTACAAATCTGGGAAAAACTCACTATACTTTCCAAATTTGAAATCAGGAACCCCGCCAGTGAAGGACCTTGGTTTCTCCGCTCATTTGCGAGCCCCATATCATTTGCCCAACCGGAAGGCCTGCATGTTCAGCTCGTGCCCGCAAGAACTTGCTGGGCCAAAGCTTCAGATGGGCTTTGAAAATCGGCGCGTCCGACTTGTCGGCATTGGGGTCCAGCCCCGGAAGGACATCTACGAAGACCTCCTGAATCTGGGAATGAATCAACCAAAAACACACGGCTCGGCTGGCATGCCGAAAATGATCACACCGCAACCTATAGGGCGTACAATCAAAAGGATACGTGGTGTTCAGGGTAAGTACACTGGAGATGTAGCCACTGATGTGGGGGTATACTCATTCGGGGCATATGTGAACAAGACCTTAGATGATTGGGGGGTCTTTGGTGGGCATCATGTGTATGGCAATTCATGCCCAGCAACTACATGGGACACACGGGTGATCTCAATTTAACTGATGTAAGTGACCCTTTGGACATCATTGGGTATCTATGCGCACCAACCATTGGAAGATGCTCCAACATGAATCTCTTGGAAGGGACAATGCCGAGACATCCCTCAAAAAGGGCCGGTCATGGCAAATGGTCCCTTTCTCTGATATTTCAATGGTTGATTCTCCATCTATATGACTGGATCATTTTGAAAGCGGATTTTGGGGGGTGCCCTTCTTATCACAGAAACTGGCCCGCACCATTTTCGCCGGAAAAAAAGGGCTGGACAACTTTCAGGAATCTGATTAAAGATGCATGAGTGTCTAAAGACATTGCCAGCTGAAATGGCAACAATCCAACGGAGAGGTTTGATCCGTTGCCAAGGGCTGTTGGTGTCATTTTTCAGCCGGTAACGAACTGAATCATGGAGGCCCAAAAGCTCGATGGATTATTTTGTGTCATGCTCTGGGTAGAGGCGGGGGGTAGGAGGATTGACAACGATGTATCTGGAGCAAATAGATCTGGGTATCATTCTAGTCTCCTGCAAACTCACATAGAACCCAAAGAGGCAAATGAGGGGCTGTGTTTTTTCTGTCTGTTCTTTTTTGGGGGGGGATCGATGGGTGAGGTCGCAAACACCCATTTCTGAGGTCGCTCTAATTCACCCAAATGACATCCATGGCATTGCTAATGCAAATTTGATGTTGTCCCAAAATAAGGGAACCTCCAAGTGGGTGGTTCCCTTTGAATTCCCTTGAAGATCCATAACTCACGAACCAATGTCAGGAAGGAGCACCCCCTAGTTAAGGCTTCATCATGGAAGGCTCACTCGGCTCAGCCTGAACGCTCATGACAAATGATCCCCTCACCAAACTATTTTCTCAGCCTCTTTCCTCAGAATTCGAGGATAATAAAACGGCTTTTAGGCAGCAATAGCTGGCCGTAATTGGAAGAACCCAGTTGGGATCCTATGAATCTTCCCCCGCCCCGAGCGCTCGAAACGTCTCTCCAGCGGAGTGCTTGTGGGCTCGGAGGCGCGTAGGCGCCAGCGGTGTGTGAGGTCCATGAGCGGGGACACCTGCAGACAGAGTTCCAGTTTTGACAAATTTGACGAACCCTAACATACACCAAAAATTGTACTTTATATATATATATATATATTAAGTTTCTTCGTTACACGCAGTCTACCTAGCCTAATATATATATATATATATGTATATATATGATATATATATATATATGATATATATATATATATATGAATACACATATAAGCATATCTTTGGAGAGGCCCCGCACCAAATTCGACTTAAACCCAAGAGCGGCTAATTTCCCCACAAAGAATATCCGGGGTTTAAGTCTACCTTGATGTTAAAAAGGGACACCTCCCTGCGGTGGGCCCGCAGAAGTAACACCCTCCAGATTTCAATTGGTCAAAGTGACAACCAGCTCCACCATGAGCCGTGCACGCATTGAGCAATTTGGACCGTGCTGAAAGAGAAGCCAGCAGAGCAACCACTTTTTCAGGCTTCATTCAAAACACCTGTCGTTGAAAATCAGCAAGCCTCAAACACGGGACCCTTTTGGGGTTCTGTGGTTTCAAGAAGGGAACCAACAAAAACCCAAAGTGGCTATCTTTGGGGGACCCTAAACAAAATCCCCCCCGTTTGAAGTCCCTCAGACATTGTTTCGCCCCGGAACCAAAATCGGCAGGGCGCGTGCAGCGGCTTTGGCAGCTCGGCGCCCTTAAGATCAAAGACGAAGAAGACGTGGTGGTTCCACGGCCTCGGAAGGGACCCCAAGCCGTTCCCGTCCCGGTTGCCGGAAAGGCACCAAATCGCGGGATGGAAAAAGGAAACCCGACATGGACAAACGGGAAGGAACCCCAAAAAGGTGGTCTTCCCAAAAAGCAGCTACGCTCCCCCCCCCCCCCGCAGGTTTTTGCAAGGGCGTTGACAGAAAAAGAAAAACACTTGGAACCACTTGTTGATTGATCCCAGATCCCGAACCCAACTTCGGGGAGTGGCTTGGGAGTCCTTTGAGCTCCAACACCCAATCCAATAGATGCGGCAAAGTGCAGGTCGGTGTGAAACCCGTGGGGGAATTCCGTTCAGGACACCCTTTTGAGCTCCACGTAATTTGCGTATTTTGTTGTCCTATTTGCAGTATTCGCAGGATGAGAGGCACCAAACTACAGAGAACCAGCGACAAATAAGAGCACAAACTACGTCTGAGATCCCTCCTCAACCTGTTCAGTCACAAAAAAACAACCTCATAATGTGGTTCCAAGATCTTTGGAAGTGAGTAACAAGCGCTTGCCCAGGATCCAACATATCCACGGTGCCACAAAAACCCGAAGACCCATCAAGGCACAGGGCTCCTCTTGATTCGTTCGCTACCACGCAAAATGTAGGGTTCATGATTCGCCTTAACCATGGAATCAAGGGCCCGTAGATGGACACAACGATGTGTGCATGTGTGCATCTTGAAACGCCGCCCCGCACGAATGAAGCAGCTCCGCTGGGATAAAGTCATGAGCAAGCGCTCATTTTGGCGGCCGCCCTGCTCCCACCCCTCCATGCATTCTCTAGGGTGTCCTGAGAGCAGCCTGGAGCACAACACGATGATCCCCGCTGGAAAAAGCTGCAACAGGTTGCAAAGAGAGATAGTGCATGTGCCAGTTGCTGACTACAGGACGGAACCCTTCTACTTGGCCCAATTCTGGGACACGCAGAAAAACATATGTTCAGATTGTGTTTCGTGGTTCGCCAACCCTTAAGCGCAGACCAACTTCGGAGGAGAACCCAGTTCCGCGGATTCGTTTTCGGCAACACATGTCCGGAACACGAGGCTGGAGTGGAAGGCCAGACCTGAGAATATGGAGGGTCCATTAGTGAAACGGGTTCCCTACATGTCCAACTTGAAAACATCACACCACAAGAAACTCACCTACCAAGATGCAACCAGGAGGTGATGTCTAAAAACCCACGGAATCCTGCTTTCCAGTCCAGCTGCGTGTTCGTTACCTCACAAATCCCACGGGAGAACTCGCCGTTCTCCTCGCAGAAATAGATCTGGATAGGATTCTGCTCGTACCTTAACCAGATGCAATTTCCAGGGGATATGGGGGACCTGTTTTTCTATTTGACAGTCCTGTCACAGACCAACCAAACAACAGCCATCAACACATCTGTTTGATGCGACGAATTGGCCTTGGAATTGTACATAGTAGTTGCCTTTCTAAACTAGTTTTCCTGTTTCCTAATGTGGAATGAATAGGCGTATTTGCGAGTTGGTATGTTGACTTTCGAATTTCTAATGTGGGTGCTCTTCTCAAAACAAAACCATTTGGTGATCATTCAGGATCTGTGTGCAGAGCCATCTTTTGAAAGAGCAGTGTCAGGGCATCCCAAAAAAAAGGCTGGCCAAAATGGTTGTACCCTTTCTGTGATATTCTGTGATGCCAAAGTGGTTGATTCCCATGACTACTCTCTTTCCAAAGATGGAACTGAACAAATTGGGATGACTGCAGCGATTGTTGGGCTAAAACCAGAGGAACATCTAGCACAAAACCGTATGCCAAACCACCCCATCGCATCACCTCCCGAAACAAACCACCCAAAACCCGCCCACATTAAGATCTCAGGCAGCCTTAAAATCATTCTAAATTAACCGGAACAACTCCCAACTGCTACCACATCAACCCCTAGCCAAACACAAACAGCACCACATCTGTGTCAAAAGGGGGACCCCCAACAAATTCAGACCCACCCCAAAAAACTACAAACGCAAACACAAAAAAAACACACACACACACACACAATCGATCAACCTATCTTCCCCTTTTTGGTTTCAAACATCACAGCTTGGGCCTCTGCAACTCTGTAACGCGGGTTTCCCTCAGGGATTCTGTAAGGCTTTTCCTTAAAAACCTTCCCTTGCTAGATTATTGTTATTTTTCTGGGTTTCCCTTAGGGCCACCCCCTCCCACCCCACCCCCTCCCACACCCACCCCACCCACTCCCAGCCCCACCCCACCCCCTGCCACCCCCACCCCACCCCCCCAACCCAACCTCACCCCCACCCCTCCCCCACCCCTCCCCCCCCGTTCCATGGGCCCCGTGGTTTCCTCCCTTCGTCCGCGGCGCCCGGCGGCCGCCGGCGTCGTCAGCAGCCGCACCCGGCCCGCGGTCCGCGCCTTGGCGCGGGCCTCCGCCGCCGAGAGCCGCGGCGCGGCCGCGGCCTCCGCGCGCCACCAGGACGGCGGCGCGTCCAGGTCCACCAGGGCCATGCCTTGGAGCTGCGCGGCTCCGGGGGAGAAGCAAAAGGACCAAAACAACATCCGGACATAAAGGGGAACATCGGTGGAACAAAACAACCATCTGGTGGAACATGATAAACGGGAAAATCAGGTGAAAATCAGGTGCATCAGATGGACAATGAGATTTTAAGGAACACAAGGCAAATTAATTGAATGATGTCTTTTTGTCCTCCCGGTATGCAAACAGTTATTTTTCGTTTGCGGCGTTGGGGGGCCAAGAAAAAAATCCGGTGGAACATCAAATGGACAAACAAAACAAAGGACATAAACACGAACAATCAGGTGGAAGATGAAACTTTAAATGACAACCCTTGCCCCTAGGGGAATAGGGGTTTGGAGGGGGGTGCGGATGCCTTTCTGTCTTGGGTTGGTTTTGGAGCTTTGTTGTTGTTTTAGGTCGGTTTTTTCGTTTGGTGTTCATTGGAAACCCAAAGCAGCCTTGGTGTTTGAGGGGCGTTGGTTCCTCTTCTCTATTTTTGAAGGTGACAAAACAAAAAACAAAAACCACCCATTTCGGTTTCCCCTAGTTAGAAACAAACCCTGGATATGGTATACTTCAGGGCGGAGATATGGTAGATATACTACGCAACATAAAGCACGTAGATGCCATGGTTTCCAGGGGTTGTGGCTTGTTTTCTTGCCCAAGTTCCATACAACAACCGTAGACGTCAATTCAGTTTTGCTTTGTCAACGCTTGTTTTCTTTGACGGTGTCTGCTTTTCCTTCCTTTTGTGCCCCTTGGAGAATGCAATGGACATATGACATTTCGTGCCGGTGTTGTCTGTGCATGGACTCACGTTTTTGGTCCTTGGGCATCTCCGAAAGGCATCGAAAACACCTGTCCAGTGCACATTGAACCTGCTTCGGCTTTATAGACTGGAGGAACTTCCATACATGGAGAACCCACGTTTGGAAGTTCCTTTTCTCTGGGGATGTGAGATTGAACCACACTCAGGGTGAATCCCCATGTCGGACGCCAATGACAATGCTGCACACACTTTGAACGAATGGCAGTGCGGTTGGTCTGTCCATGGCTGCATCGATGTTCACATGTTGTGCGGCAAAATCCTGCCATCTGCTTCCAGGGCCACGTGACATAGGTGGCATGGATATAGGGGATCGTATGCGTCATTCACCGTATATCACATAGGGGACACAAATGATTCCAGGCATGCCTGAGTTCAGCATGATTGTCTGACAACAGATCTGCAAAGAAACATGTTTTTTCAACAAACGTCAAGACACTGAAACCTACTACATACCATGAGGGCAAACGGCCGGCTCAAAACGAAAATACGTGACTGCCTGTGCTACAAACTCCCGAAGACAAAACACCATGAACAAACGACATGCAAACATTGGGATACTACTGCTGCCAACGTTTGTGTTTGCTTGTTTTAGCTGCATCCACAAAGAACAAACCGTTGAGACAAGTCATGCGAGCTTGAAGCCAAGCTGCGAACCGAATACTTGAATGCATGGGATGCTTCATGTGAGCGGGCGTGCGTCACCCAGCCTTCCAAGAATTCCACGCCAGGACAATCTTCAGAAAAACCGAGAAGCGCTCGAAAGAGGGCGACCAGAAAACTGCACAGCGTGCAAGTGCCATGCACCAGCAAAGCAGTCAGGAGCTTCGCAGCCTGACATGCTGGCACGATTTTCTTGTGCAGGTGTGCACAAATCATCTTGAGCCGACACGTTCAAAGTTGCATGTCCATGGTCTTTGCTTGACCTGGGTGTATTTAATGGCACGCCCTGCCCCCCCCCCCGGAAAACCTTTGTTGCACAAAACATGCGACGTTCAAAGTTCAAACTGCAAACTGCGAGCGCACACGCCTCGGCCCTTTTTGCTGGGTTCGACGCGCAAGGGGACAAAGTCCATGTCTTTATGCAAAGCTGGCGTGGACTGTTTCCAAACTCAAACAACTGCTATACAGGAGTATACGATTATCTCCCACACAAGTCTGGCAGTGGCAGCAACCATGGAACCGAAATCGCCACCGAAACAACTTCCTGTCTGTTCAAAGTTGCACCGCGCACTGGACAACACGTTTCTTTCCCCTGAGCCAGGCCCTAACTTGAAGATCCACATATGATGGTGAATATAGAAGTATATATATATATATATCGATCTATGTACACGAGTGTTTTTTAGGGGACCCCTAAAATGGTGGTAGTCCTTTTGGTTTTCCTTTAAAGCAACACAATCTACACCCATGTCCATTTGCAAGGAATCTTCATGGCGGGTGAGGTGGCCATTTCCAATGATGGCCCTTCCTGGCGAGTGGCACAAGCATCCATTCCCATCAACAAAGATTGGTCCAGAGTCTGGATGTTTTCTTTTCTACAGTGAGCTGGGAAAGGTGAGGACAAAGCTTTCAGCAACATTCTGCAACCTTGTGGGGATATCCTGCCGTCGTAACAGGGCAGCAAGGCTCGAACTGGCGTCCCCAACAATAGCTTCTATGCATTGAACATCATTGAACTCTTATTCGCTCTCAATGTCGCCGGTTAACAGGTCCGTTTTGTGCATGTTGCCTGTTGCTGCTTTACAAGGTGTTGACACCACGGGACGTTTTTTTTACTTCTGTGGGACTGCTCGAGCAAATAAAAAGCTTCGGTGTGCGATCCAAGAACCTTCGGTCTGACTCACAAGCTCTGCGCGCGCTTGGCTAGCGGGTCCCATGCTACAGCTCGCTCTTGCCCTTCTTTGGTTTCTTCTGCTTCCTGGCTGTGGAGCGGGTCGAAGCAACGCGAGTGAACAAAACAGTTCTCTGAATGCTGGCTCGATGGGCAGGGAATAACAGAAGGCTCCCTAACTTGACCACCCACCAACCACCCTGCAAGTAGGTTGCAACCACGATTATAGCTAGCATTGTGGTCTTATAATCGCTGTTTACCATTGCACCCTAATTGAAGAATATGTTTCTCAACATCTCCCAATACTAAATTGGAACTAGCCTCTTCTAAACCAATTCTACACCAGCCAAATACCCACCGGCCCCAACTCTGGTCCTACTGGGGGATACTGATACGTCAGAAGGAATACTAATCCAGTACTAGACTAAATCTAAGCTAATTCGAAACCAGCACGGATCCGTTAATGTATATGTCTGATGCTTAATTCCTACTCGGAAATTGTCATGTTGAAAGGCGTTTGAGGCAGGGCTTGCTTGCGCAACTTGGCAGGCGTGCCGCTCCGCGTTGTGGCAAGCGCAGCACGAAACAGCTAGTGGCAAGGGCTATAAAGGTTTTACCAGGTCCTGTGCTTTGGGGGAAGGGGCTGATCCGATTCAACAAAATGATGATACCAATCAGGGTGGTCTGGCCAGCCGCTTTGACAAATCCGATCTTGAAACACATCTTTTACACGACCTCCCAGGCTGAAGCCCTGGCCCCTTTCTATTTAATTGTCGCCGAAGTCTAGGTTCCCTTATAACCATGGGCGCCTATAGCTAAGTCACTTCTGAAGTGGAATTGTCAGAAAAAGTCCAGACTATTGGTTTCCCACTGAAATGATCCTCCCCGAAAAAAGCCTAAGGGTCCAGAAACCGAACAATCCCAAGACACATGAGCTGGGGAGTGGCATGGAGTGGCTGCGACCGCCCTGCCAGATCAAGACATGCCGGCAGCACTGCTTCCGCGGCACTGCCTGCAATGGCTTTCGGAACCCGTGCGCCTCTACCTCAAGGGGAAGGGGATGGGGGGCTCGATCCGTTTGTCAGTTTTCCACACAATGGAACCATGGAATTCGCCCTGCACGATTCATATCGTTTTAGAAGGTTAATCTCAAAATTGGGGGACAGATGTTTGGCTGCGGCTCCAAAAAACATGTGCCAAAATGTCACCTTGGTAAATGAAAGCAACAAGAAAAAAAGGCATGCGTAAGCCTAGCTCTTTAACTTTGAGCTAATGTTGACCCCGGATTAATACACCGCGGTTTATTAATAATTATGGGGGTGTCCCCGGTTTTAGTAGGAATTTGTCACTTTTGGAGGGGAACACCCCCAGAGTTGGGTTTCTGCACACACCTAATTTTGCTGCATTCTGGCCAAAACCGGGGAAAAAAACACTTGAGACATCGGGGGGGGGGGGAAAAAATAAATAAAAAACGGGGTTCATGACTCCGGGGTCAACATTCCACCCGTTTCTCTTCAACCGCATGCCGCCTTTCGACAGCTCAGGGCGAGGGCAACCCCCGCCGGGCCTTGGCTCTGAGGGCCTCGAGCTTTCGCTCGAAGTCCTTGCGCTCCTCGGCCTTGCGACGGGGCGAAACTGCGAAACCGCGTGAGAGGCGTGGACCCCCCAAACGGAACGCACATTTTCTGCCCCCCTCTGCTAAAAGTTTAGCTTTTAGTGGTTTAATTGGAAAGCCCATCAGTTGGCAAAAAAACGAAGACCTCACATCCAAGCAAAATGCACCAAACTAACCAGCTTTGTAGAATTCTCCTTATTTGGAACTAAAGCGGATTGCACGTGAAGGGGGTCTGGACAAATAACTTTCGATGTTTGGGAGCTTGGGAATGGAAAAGGGTCATTTCGAGGATGTCACTTAAACGGGCTTGCAAGTTCTTAGCTGAGCTTCCCACCCTGTTTTGTTTGCCCATGCAAGTTTGCAAAGGAATATGGCTCAAAATTTACTCCGCTGCAGATTGAGACGGATCAGAAGGAACTCATGGTGTAGAGGGCTCTGCTTTTGAGTAGGACCCCGTTCTGGAATTCTTTCTGGTAGATTGTGCGGGCCGGGGTGCAGCTGTCGGCCCCAACCAAAACGGCACAAGGTTCGCGCATCTTACCGCTAGAGCAGCACCCGGGGTCAAGAAAAAGACCTTAAGCATGGCAGGTGGGTTTGTAAGTAAACAGCATCATCATAGAATGTGTTGGCGATATTGATTGGCAAATAGATTTATAGAATTTGATGATTGAAACCGGTGCTTGGTACAGGTTCTGGTACAGGTTCTTTATCAGCGTCCAACATGTTTCATACGCGTGGAAAGTGTGTAGTTTATCGGCGTTGCGGCGCGGTGTTAAATTTGTTAGTATATACCGTGTCAGATATCATGCCTCGCTGAAGAAGCAACAACTGGTATTGCCCATGCCTCTTTTAAATGAAACTGTGATCTCTGATTGAGAGTAGCGGGGAGCCACGAAACTCAATCATGGATGAGACACACAACTAGCGTATGTACTTGTAGAACCCAAGGCAAGTAAACGGATCAATATCCTTGCTGTCAGGCAAGCCATCAACGGTTGTAGCAACGTGCGGGATTTGTTTCTTACCGCGGTCTCTATGGTTGTTTGGCTGTTGAGATGTTTGAACTAGCGCTTCGTCGGAAGTACCGAACAAATGTATGGAGGCTTGTTGCGTGTCTGCTTCGCAGTTTTACAACGTCCTCAATTATCGTTCAATGCCGTCTGTAGGGGAAACATACAAGGGGATCCAAAAGCTGAAACAAAGACCGCCTTCAGTAAAACTGGGCTGCAATTAGATCCCCCGCTAAAAGTTTAACTTTAGCGGGTTAAATGGAAACTACCACTAAACACTAAAAAGCTAAAAGGCTAAGGAAGCGGATGGCTGGTTGCGCCACCAAAAACATATGCACATCACAGTGAGCTCGCTTCCCCCCCGCACCCCGCCCCAACGATCCCGGCCTTTGGGTCCACCTTGGGGTTTCCCTCGCGAGATCCATGGGCTCCCCATCCGACTCCGGTGCTATGGACACTTGGAGTATGTGCGGCCAACCCCAAGAAACCCATTGGCCCGAAATGAAGGTTGCGACATAGACTCGAAGTGTCCATACGCACCTTATCTGGGATGAGATTGTGTGGGCATTTGGAGCCTAAGGAGCTTGCCCAACCATGTTCAGCCCTTGCTCCACAGGCAAGGGCATGCGTGCCCTTGCGTTTTGAGGGCCAAAAGCGGAGAAAGGTGAGCCATAACAAAAACAAAAAAGAACAAGCCGGACCGTTTCCAAACCATAAACCAGGCGTACATAATTAACGGGTAATTGAGTCAATACACTCCGAGGCTGAAGTGCCAAATGTCTGCTCGGTCATGATTAATAAACCCGTCCCATTATTGGGGGGGTGTTCCCTCCAAAAGTAATGAATCCCCACAAAAAGGGGACACGCCCCTATTAATCAACCAGGGGTTCTACTTAGATCCGGGGTTAAAATTCTGGTCTAAAGTTGGGGACATCTCTGAGTCATATAGCCCCGAAGTCCTGACTTCTCATGAACGCCCACTTTTTGCAGTGGGGTGCCTCCAGGTCGGAGCGCTCCGAAACCAAATATGCCCAGCCCAAGTGGCCGAAACCCAAAGGCAACTTCAAGAGTAGAGAACAACCAACTTTGCGGAAGGATGGGAACTTTCCTGCCATCTAAGGTCCTGCCAGACCTACATGGGTTCTACAGGGAGAACATGCCAACATTCAAAATGTCCCTTGTGGCTTCCAACTTGCAAGTATGTTCATTTCGTGCCAGGCGACTTTCATCTTGCAATTCTCCAATCGGAAAGGGAAAGGACTTCCAGCTCTCGTTCCGTTTAAGGTTTCTGCAAATCCACACGGAACCCCCAAAAAAGGGGCGTCCTCCAAAAGAGATTCATATCCGCACAAAGGTAGGGTCTACGCATAGCCCATCCACCGACTCGACCCGACCCACGCCCAAACAGCCTGGCTTGCTTTGGCCTCCTCTGCCTCCTGGCGAGAGGTTCTTGTCCCCAGGCAGGGCTCTGAACATCTGAAGCCAGAGCCGACGTTTTGCTTCAGAAATCACCGGGAAAAACAGATCCCCTCCAGCTAACATGGGTTTGTGCCTTCGGACCCCTGTAGAAAGACTACGTTCCTCTTGGAAAGGGCTTTTTTGCACTTCCATGTTCGTTGGTGGGAGGGTATCCGAACAATGGAAAGAAACAACACGGCACCTTTTTAGTACTAGTAGTTGTGGTTGTTTGTGACCGGGAAGCCACTGGAGACGCGGGGATAGCCATCCATGAGCCGCATAAGAAAGAGATGCAAACGCGTGGTGTGTTGCATAAATGCATCGATGCACAAATGCGCATGCGTCTATGTATATATATATATATAAATATATATATATATATATATATATTTCTCTCTCTCTCTCTACCTTTGCTCTTGAACTACCGAGCTGTCGATGTAGTGATTTATGGGTTGTTGGCAATGAAAGATACATATGCGTGTAAATATGCATATCACAACATGCATTGCCCATGCCCCTTCCCCCCCCCCCCCCCCCCCAAAACCCTAAATTTAAGGGCGTCCCTGGGGAGGCTTGGAGGACTTGCCGTCGAAAGGTGGCTCGAGATGCTGGGCGGTTCATGCAGCGGACCCCCTCCGCAGCGGGACACCTCGAGAAAAGGAACGATTCAGCAGTGATTTCGCACAATCCTAAACATAGGTGGCCTTTTGGAAAAAATAGATGGCGCTGGTGAATGGAAGAAACCCCATCTAAACCAGTCCCATCTATTGTTCATCAAACTAATCTAAAAAGAACACCTATGACCTATGATCCTAAAATGAAGGACTCCAAGGACAAGTCTAACTGATTGACAATGAGTTAGTAGCCGGGCATCGATCAGAAGGCCTCCTTCCCTTAAGGGGAAACAGGTGGGGAATGGGTTCCCCAATGCCTTGTTTCATGGATAATTCTGATGCGTTACTTGCCAAATGGCTTGAGCATGTGCAAAGCACATTGTGGCCCGGTGTAACCCCCTTTGTTGGATTCCTTTGCTCCTCCGCTCAAAACCAAATGGAACTTCACAGGGACACCCTGGAAGCTAGTTTCTTCTAATTAGCAAGGACCCTCTTTCAGGCTCCGTGTTTGCGCACTTCGTAAGTTCAATCCACAAAGTCAAAACCAAACGAACAAACATATGAAGCAATGTGCTGTTGGTGGCTGATCCAATTCTGCCGACTGAAAGCCGCTAGAAAACAACCAAATCAAGACTCAGCCCCCTGAACTGTCTGAGGTCAGTGAATGAACGGTTCACCTGGAATAGGCGAGCTACATGTGGCCAGCATGGCAAAAGTCACCAACGTAAGGCTTGAGGGTATAGGTCAATGACTGGTTGGGTGCTGAAACGGTACCCTCTGGGGGGTCCGTGTCAGTCGGTGGGAGGGTGACAGTAGCACAAAAACAAGACGAAGAAGTGATACTATCGGGGGGGTGCTTGGCCAAGCACAGCAACATGCCCAAGCCAGCCACCCACAATCTAGAGGTCTCTACAAATAGGGCAACCCCTGTAGACGACCAACATGAAACCCAAACCACCGTTCTGACAGGAATCTCGTCAATGTGTTGCAGGGCAGGACGCCCAGGAGAACTGCCCACCCCTGCCCAATCTCCCCAACACAAAACCAGATAAGTCCTTCGGGTGGAGCTTGGCGTAAAAATATGCCTGCCGAATGCTCATGCCAACTGGCCCAGTCGACTTTCCAAAACGCATCCGCGCTCTCCGGCAAGCAGACGCTCCCAATGAACCGTTCGCAACTGGGCTGCTGCCCAAAAGACAAGCCAGACATTTGCACCTCCTGCCCCTAATTTGCTATGGCCCGCTGGCAACTACCCCTCGCAGATCGAATCCCAACTCCGCCCCTCGCTTCCCCAAAGAGGACGCTGGATAGTGGAGGAATTTTGTATTTGAGGAACCCGGCCAGGAAGAAGGGGGTGGAGTGAGTCGGGGTTGATCCTATGACTCCAGTTGGGTTCTTGCAAACGCCTTAAACAGTCTGGTCAGCAAAGCGTCTAGTAGGACCGTCCAATCAGCGTAAGCTTGTTTCCCAAACACCTCCTTTCCTGGACTGCCCGAGAACAACTCAGGAAGCAAGACTACCCGAAATGGAATTGTGCAGGGGGGAATCTGTGGTTTGCCTGCTCAGCTTTTTGCGGACAAACAAGAAGTAACCTCACCTGATGGAATGTGCCGCAATCAGCGGCTTTGTGGGCTAATGCTCAGAGCAGATTGCATACGAATCCCCCGCGTTGCAAAGTGGCTGAGGAGCAAAACACGAAGTAAGCACACTTCAAAAAAAACGACCTGCGCGAGGACTCCACCGCAAAAGGGTGAAAAAGCATGCGGGCCAGCTCGAAACCGGCGTTCAGCGTTCAAAATTGAGCAGTCTAACAAGATCAGCTTCGGAGCAAACCCAAAGCAGCAGAGATGCCACGCAACTAGGAGACCCCTGATACTGGAGGGCTCATTGGTCCAAGCTGAGAGTTGCGAGCGGGCCCTTTTTTCCGAGTCAGTGCATCAACCCCACTGGCCCTTTGAACACAGCCCGGGAGCAATGAGTAATTCTGCCCAAACAGGAAAGGGAAATCACAGAGTACTGGACCTTCACAAAACCGCGACCCGAAAAGTGAGCTGGTGAAAAACCTGTCGCAAAGGTGGTGAATTTGTTAGGCCCGCAAGCCTGAAATAAGCATTCGCTGTATGACCAACAAGGTCTGTAGATAACTGGGTAGTGTGAAAGTAGATGGCACAATCCCCATTATGTGGGTAAGCGCAGGGTATGACTGAACTAACATGGGAGGATGGTGCCATCTACTTTCAACTTGCTGACACCTTGCTTGGCAACCGATTCCAATCTGAATGGGTCTGACCTGGAGAGGTCGCAACCGAGAATCCGGCCCCGTTAACAACCGTCAATTAGGGTGTCTCCAGTGGAGCGGCATCTGCCAAGTTTGAGTGCCCGGGCCTAGAAGAACCATTGACAAGTACAATCTGAACAGCTTGAATTGGCTTCAAGCTAAGGAAGAGCTGCAAATTAGCCCAAGCAAGCTCAATACGACTTGTGCAGATACAAGCACGAACGCACGAATGTATTGCAACATTCTGACGATGTACATGAAGTTCGGCAATCGATTTGGAATCACGAGGGTCGTCCAAGACCTCCCCTACCAATCCACATGAAACTAAACACGGACCCCTTTTCTCGGTTGCTTTCTGCTCCCCTGCCAACAGTTTAACTCTTAGTGGTTTAATGGAAAACCCATTAGTTGGCAAAAAGTTAAAGTCCTAACATCCAAGCAAAATACACCAAAGTCGTTATGGTTCCAAGTTCATTTGCGCGGTTGGGCACTTGAAGGTTGCTTCAAGACCCCCGTCCGGAGTCCGAGCTGCTTCCCTCCACTGGACCATCATGTCGTAGCACTGGTCTGGGTACAGGCGAGCTGTATCCTCACAAGGGGACACGGAGCATACCCGGTGAGTAACCAACCAGCAACCCTTGCTCCAAAGGGCTGGAAACAGAAGTTTGATCATTTCAGGATCATTTCAGTTAAACAGAGTCTGAGCCCACATGGGCACACCACAGTGCTAAGTCAAGATGACCGCAGAGACCTGACCAGCCACCAGGCAATCTACACACTCCTGATTGACATGGAAAAATCGAAAACCTGACTGGCCTGCTTTGGAAGAGCTGCCTGTGGTGCTTTGATGTGCGCTTGCTGTCCAAGAGCCATGGCTGTCCAACCCGACTGCCGCCCACCCGACCGCAATCCGAAGCCAGGGCTGTGAGCTGCCCTGTTTCGAGGGTTCGATGATGGCGGTAGCATTGGCGCTCGGGGCAGGCCACCCATCGGAGAAACGTCCCGCCCTTGTGACTTGACCAAGTCACAAGAACAAAAAAATCATCATCAAACGGTGGGATGGCTGCGGCATTCTCAAAAGACGATTCTCTGACCTGCTGAGTTGATTGGTCAACTTTGAGTAACACCCAAATAACCACTAAGTCTATCACCATGAAGTCAGTCTGTTTGCCAGCTGGCTTTGAGTTTTAATTGGATGGCTGTTGGTGGAACACTTTCACATGGGTTTTCTGTCGACCAGCCATTTTGGAAGCGTTCCCGGTGGATGGACAAACTCCTGCGCCAGTTGGGGGTGACCCTGGTGTTCATGGCTTCGCCCATCCCGACTGTTCCAAAGCATGTGCCTTCGTCGCTCACACCTCCAGCGGTCCATTTAAGCCTTCCCCTAACTGGCCGCATTAAAACTATTATCCAGAAGTTATCCCTCAGTGGGTCAAAGAGAAACCAGCCCAATTAGTTGTCCGCATTGAGTCATCCTGAGTGATCCATTCATCCGGAAGGGAAACCACCCCAATTTGGGTATGGCATGGGTCAAGATTCAAGCACCAGAGCACCGCGGGTTTTAGTCCATGTTGCCATTTACCGGGGTTCCGTTTTGGGTACCTGTTTTTGACCCACACCCATTTCTGAAAATGACCCCTAGAAAGTGTCAATGACCCCAGCCTAAGCTGCCGCGTGGGTTCAAGACGAGCTCAGGTTTTCACGGCGAGAAGGGGCCCCAAGACCCAGCCCGTCCTTCTTGATATGTGGCGCTGGCCTGACGGTCTGGGAAAAAACCGGGCACTCCCCACCCAAACCAACATGGAACCCAAAAGCGACCCCCCCACAGGAGATTCCTCTAAAACTGGGTGGGTTTTTGGGTTCGATGTTAAACTGTAGGGGAGTACATGTCCCAAACCAACATAAAACCATTGGATTGTCTTAAGAAAAAAAACATGCGGTGCAACGAGCGACCTTGGCAAGAAACACAAGCATTGCGCCCTGCAAGGTTCTGAAACCGCTTTAAACTAGTCATGAAACTGCAATGCTACCAACAAGTTGCATGACAAGTGACACTCTCAAAATTGCTCTCTAAATGGCACTTAGGGAACCCACTCCCTCCCTGGCCCTATGGGAAGGAAAGGCTTATTTCGGGGTACTTGAATTGAGGGAAACGGCCACGCACGCCGAACTTTGTTTTTTTTGTTTTTGTTACAGTCATAGAATCTTGATCACATTTGGCTCCTCAACACTAGTTGACCCTATTCAGCCCCTCTCTATGTGGGCAAGATGCCAAAAACGGGTTGTTCCCAAGCACACCTTGCAGCTGAACCCACCACACAAGGAGCAAGGGGTGGCACTGTACTACTTTGGCCTGCGGCGATCGGAGTTGAATCCTCAGGGAACCTGCTGGTTCTCAGGGCATCAACTTTGTGGCTTTGGGAATGAACCCGAAGGGAAACCCGTGCAGGAAACTACCAGTTGGATGGTGCAGTTTGGGGTCATTCCAATTCATTTCCTGAGAACCTCGGTGCTAAATAGATCTGGACAAATTAAACAAGTTGCCCATGTTTGTGGCTTCCGCTTGGTTGAATTAATACTTACTCCTCTACAAAAACTAAAGTGAAACCCAAAAGGGGGGAGGTCCCACAAAAGGAGTTTCCTCCAAGCATGGCTTTTTTGGGTTCCATGTGGAGAAAGAAAAGAGTAGGAGGCCATTGGCGCAAGTCGCTCAGGAACCCGAATCACCGAGCCCAACAGCCACAAAAACCGTCGCATAAGCCAAATGATTCCGAAAGGAAGCAGCCAACTGGAGTCCTGGAGGCGTCGTTTTATCTGGGTGAATTACCCTATTTCACCAACCTGAAAATTCGGTGGTTGAGGGAATTTTCCCCACAAAAACCACCATTTGGGGTGAGGTCGCGTTGGGTCGTTATAATTCACCCAGTTTTCTTGGCGCGTACCCTTTCTTGGTGCTTTTTTGGTGACTCCAAAACTGGACCGCCCCCCCCCCCCGTGGCCATCCGCCCGCCCGCCCGCCCGCCCGCTCGCCCGCTCGCTCGCTCACCGAGGGCTCGGCTTCTTGGAGCGGATCAGCCGCTTCCAGCAGGGCTCCGAGACCAACTTCGGCAGCTCGAAAGACACCGCCTGCCCACCCGGAAACGTTCGGGTGCCGGTGCCGCGCGGCGGGTCGGCTTCCCCCCCAAAGTTGGGCCTTGGGCTCTTCACACAAAAAAAACAGTGGAGCCCCACAATGGAAGGCTTTCCCTAAAAGGCTTCCCTCCACCAACACAACAGGGTTCCCCCAAAAAAGGACGCCCAAGTCGAGTACCCAAGCGGGGTGCGCTGGGTTTTTCATGGAGTGGAGGTCCAGGAGCCAACAACAGAGCCCGTGAGAGAGTGCCGGCCGACCACAGCGGTCCCTATGTGTTCCTTTGCAGAGAACCACATGTTTGGCCCATTTCAGGTGAGATTCCCTGGTTCCAGAAATTGTGAATTCCCAAAATGGGCGGCTTCCTTCTGTGACGCGACGCGAAAAGCATGATGTCGGATAGGGGAGGCAATTCCAACAAGTCTCCAAAGTTGCTCCCCACATTTGAAACCAACAGTGGGAGGAAATTCGGCGGTGTTTTTGGCGATGGCCCGTCCGACGTTGACGAAGAACAATCCAAAGCCCCGGAGCCAACATGAACTGCTCAAAACCAATACAAGTCGATCCGGAGGCGAAACCAACTGAGTTCCAAACAGCCAACTTCTTTCTGACACACTTTACTAAAAACCACAAGTTTTCCAGAGGGTACGGGGAAGCCCCAAGAAGTCAACAACAAAAAAGGCTTTAAGGGGATGATAATATAGAGAAAAGACAAATCTCTTGGCCAGTGCCGAGGAATACAAAACTTATACTACTGAACCAGTACCAAGGAATACTAAAACAATCGAAACCAATTCTAAACAGTACTGGGTCAGCTCAAGGAATACGGAAACAAGTCTATACCAGTACTAAACAGTACTTACTGAGCTCTGACCCTCATTTGTTTGAGCCGGGGCCCTTTCCCTTGCACTAAACATTGGTCTCACGCAGGGAACCTTGATAGGGGTAATTTAGCGGCAATTATTTGTTGGTAGGGGTTCAATATCAGACAACCCCTGATTGGTGGTTTGGATTGGTGGTTCGCGATTTGAACCCCTGCTTCTTGTTGGGGTAAAGGATGCACCAAAACGAGCTGTGGACATGAATTATTGCGCTCTTGATCCTCCTCAAGCATTGTCGCACCTGTAAGTGCGGGCCATCGAGGCTAGCCGCAAAAAAGGTTCACCGTTTGGAACCTTCAGACGTACCAAAGAACAGGTGAGGTGAGTGCGCTTGGGGCACGCAAGCTGATGGATTTGTGTTTTCCCGCAGGCAGGAGGCCTGGTTGCCCTTCCCTGACCTACGCACTTGTTGGGCAATTGACGAAACACCCTGTTCTTTTCGGGGACCCGAAACATGCTGGTTGTCCCCTTGATTCCCTTCAAACCAACCCCCAAAAGCGTACCATCAAAAAAGATGAAAGACTTGGACTTTGAGGGTAGGTACCTTTCTTCTTTGCTTGTGGTGATCAAACCCTGGCGGTCGGCATTTGGAGTGGTTGTGTGTTTGTTCATAGAGGTTCATCATATACGCGAAGATCCCAACCCAATAGCACCAGATCCGGCCTTTTCGCTGAGGTCGTACTTGCTGGTGGTGACCTAAGCCACGGAAGGCCGACAAAATTTGAAGGGTTCTACACTTCTTTCACAAACCTGAGCTTTGTGCCAAAGTCTCTTCAATGGCGCATATTCACTTGACCTCGACATGTATGCGGTTCAGGGGTTTTCAAAGGCAATCGAAAGGCACCGAAAGGCATTGGTTCCACGTGAGCATTCCATCTGTCCATCTTCCTGCCTCTCGTTTGCCAAGCTCAAGGCCTATTTTTTTGCAACCAAAGCGTCCTGAGTTCCATCTGCATTTCTCCAATCCGTCCCGGATGAGTTGACCCACGTAGCCAGAGGAGTACCCTCACCCTCTCCCTACAGCTATGGAAGCTGACGGAAGCGTTTTGAAAGAATACTTTGCTTTTTGGGATGAAGGGGTTAACAAGAATAAACAGGTTGCTGGTTGGGCTTACTGATCGCTGCCCATTTGCGTGCGTTTCGGCGATTCCGGGCGTCATGCAAATGGCAGAGGGGGCTTCCAAATGTGGGGAGCACGTCAGGATAGCTTTCTCATGGCTTTCATGCACGCCAAGGGGGGCCCAACCAGCTTGAGGCAAACGGTTCGATTCTGGCGCCTTTCTGACCAGAGTTTGGCCAGAAAAGTTCAAACCTCTTGGGCCATGACAGTCCCACAATTGCTTATCGGGAGTTTTGCGAGTTGCAAACCCAATAACTACAAGTTTCAAAAGCGACCAACCCTAAAACCCAAACACAAAGTCTGTTGGTTGCAGGTGGCTGCATTAAACTGCTCCTGCTCAACGGCAAAACTAACCTTTTCATGCCATCTATTCGTTACAAGTCAATAACTCCACAGGGGACACTAGACTGGGAAAACTCAATTTAAACTCGCCCAGGATGTGCAGTTGACAACCAGTAGTACCGGCCAAGTAGGGAACCGTGCGTCCGCCATCAACTGCAAGTTTCTTGGAATAAGGAAACCCAGCTAAAGCAAATCGCTAGCTGCTGTCAAACGACCCTTCAACCAGCCTGCTAAACGTCATGTTCCAAAAAGGCCCGCATACATATCTGCCGCGAACTCTGTGAATGGCTATGGCAGCAAGGTCCTTAGGAGAGGCTGCATCTTACTGAAGAGACCATCCACTTGGCTTTTGCCCCCCTCTGCCATGTGCAAACAGCTGGCTTATCCGTTTGGCAGCAGGGCACTCTCCCACATAGTCAAAGCAAAAACAGTTCCAACCACGTAGCAGCCACAAAATGAAATTCCGAGACAGCATGCCGCAGGCATGCAGCACTGGATGTCAAATATTGCGGCCTGGTGTGGGCTCCCAACCGGACAACCACGCATGATTCAACAACCCAGCAGGACCAGCCAGTGCTCTCCTGGTTAGCATGAAGCCCACAGCATTCTTCTGGGAGGCTGCTTTTGCCTCTCCCTGATAAGTGGTTCATATCCTCAGCTCCTGAGTTGATGGTCCAAAAAAAGTCCAAACTTGTTGCTTGCCACTAAAATGGAATTAAACAGGGGGCCCCCAATAATTTCAAGGATCTACATCATGGTGAGCTCGCTTTAGCTCCAGGCCTCGACTGCTTTGGCAGAGTCACCTTCCCTACCTTCGGGTGGGTCATTCAGGTTCTTAGGGGTCGCAGCCCCACTATGTTTTGGTGCCCCCAAAGGGAACAAAACCTCCAATCCCCTTCTTTCGAGCACATGCCCTGGGTAACTTGAGGCCATAGGCCAACCAACCAGACCCCCGATTCCATTGGGATCTCCCCAGGCTCCCACATTGATGCCCCGCAGGAGGTGCAGATTGACCTCGCCATCAGAGCCATTGCAACCCGACCAAAGGTCCCGATGGTTGCTGCCGTTCGCAGCCGGCGGAGTAAAGATGTGAGCGGGAGAAGGCAAATGAAAGGAGATGTGGTCGCTTCTTTCTTTGATCTTGCGGCCATCCAGCCTCGGTCTTCACAAATGCTTTTCGGCGTGACAGGAGCTCCATACCCCATTGATAGAAGTGACAAATCATGGGCATTGCAAAATGGACCTATTCCCGACATATGAACCTAAGTGTAGGCAGGCGGCTTTCATCTCGGCAACTTACATTGTTATGATTGTGACACATTGAGCAATTAGTGGCGACACTCATCAATGCAATGTTTGGTCATGGAGGTTTTCTGCTACTCCAACATGCCTTTCATCTTGGAAGGAGCCCAGGCAAGTCCACAAAACAGCAAATGCCAAAAACAAGCTGGACATAGACGACTCCGAGCAAAACTGAAGACCTATTGTTTCTTCCCAATGCCTGAAACCAAGAACACCGGACAATATCACGCACACCGTATATACCTATAAACAAAGACACATACATGTGTATATATATATATGTATACATGTGTGTGTGTGCTATGTAAGTCTCAACCATTTTGGTGGCTTAGTTCTGAAGTTCGGGTCAGCACAACAACAAACCAAAGAAGCACCTGAGGACCTGGCTACGAGGCTATTCTTCGAAGCCCCCCAAAAATGGCCCAGGGGGCTGGTCCAAGTTGATGATTGCTTCCATACGGCGCCTCATTTTGCCCGGCAAACAGTCCGAACGTTGCTTCCAAGTCCGATGCCCTGGTTCCAAGCCTCGGTGCTTCGTACCGATTCATACCCCCATCCTCAGTGCTTCAGGCCTCGTAATCCTGGCCATGGCTGATCCCCTTGAAGAAGATCCGCTTCTCCTGCGCAAGGACCAGCCGAGCACGTCTCTCGAGCACAAATCAAACAAAGAAAAACAGGTTCTGCTTCTGGTTTCCGGACTGGGCCGGAAGGTGTGCTTTGACACTGGAAGGGCCAGAAACTAAACTTTGACCTCTGGGTTCGGCCCCACGCCAGGAGGGGCAGGACACCGAGCCTTTTTCGGGTTGGAAAACCTGCACATGCCAACAAAAAAGGTGCCTCCCGGCTTCCTTAACCCGAGGCACGAGCGCCCACTAGAGCGTGCAACCCAGCGCATCCTCGAGTTCCACCTCCGGTTCCGTCACCTCCTTCAAAGGGATGGTCAAGTAGAGCCTGCACGAGGGAAATCCAAGCCATGACTCCCAGTGAATCCTTTGACTCTTGGGGGTTGGTTTTCAAGCTCCATCCTTCCCATGGGCCGTTGGTGAACCCCTGCGCAAGCCCCGTGGGTGATGGTGGTGCCCGTGCCCGCCAGGTCTTTGAATAAGCTACGCCTTGAAAGGCGAACCCCAACAGCTGTTGAGCAGTTGCCAACAGCTACCCCTTTCAAACTGGAACCCCGCAAAAACGTCACAGTTGCTTGTTTGCGGTTTTCTTCTCCCTTCGGGGAAAGGAGAAATATGCAACTACGGTAGTGGCCCCTTTGTTTCAAGAGAAGGGGGAACAAACAGGTGACGCCTGGAGAGAGCTCGCGGCCAGCTTAGCTGCTACTTACCTTCAGTTGTCAGCCACGAAGCCCGACAGCAGCTGTTGCATGGATCAGTCCCCAGGCAACATATCACGGGGTTGGTCTTTGACTCCCCTCTACAACGCGTGGGTTTCAGTGGGGAAGTGCTTTCCAGGTTCAAAAAGATGAAAGAGGCTGAAGCTGCTGAATCAGCTGTCAGGAAGTAAAAGCCCGGAACAGGTTGCTGGACCTTCCCTCAAAAACACGTCGTAAAATGCCGTCAGACACCAAATAGGCATGCAGATTTCCTGCATACGCGGACCCAGCACAGCGGGAAGGGCCCGACAGCCTGCCAGACGTAAGCGAAGCTAGATGAGTTGCGCCTTGTGTAAGGCCAGCTGTTTACTCGTCGCTTTACTTCCAGTTGCTTGAGCCCCGTGGAGAATAAAAAGCAACCTGTTTCCAGTAGTTGTAAATTCCCCTTATATATATATAACCACCAAGAGAAAATACGACATAGTCTTGAGCAAATGGACGTTCATCACCTGCGCATTGCGAGATGCCAAATCCACTGGCCGGCATGCACGAGACGGAATCAGTGTTTCCTTTGGCTTCCCTCAACCTGAAAGGCTGACCTCAAACCACCAGCCCAAATAGGAGCTTTTGGTCACCAACCTGAAAGGTTGAGGTGTTTGGCTTCCGAAGTGGTTTTAAACCTGGAAAGGTACCCACAAAAAATAACAAACCCAAATACCCTTTGACCCCCTTTCAAGGACTATACATAAACCCTGCTGAGGGCCTCGTGTCTTTACTGCACGGCTGGCTGAAGATCACAGCAAACACATGGCTGAGACTTTCCGAGTGGCGGGATGAACAAATTTTTAGGCAGTTTCACAGGACCCGTCATTTGCGGACATGCTGCTACGTCAATGACTTGGCCATGGGTCAAAAGCCCGTACCCCCAGTGAGCATCCCAATCCCCACTAAAATAGACTAAAATGGGTGGTGCACCTACCATTTGGTTTTGACCCACAGCCACTTACCTCTTCAGCTGAATGCAAAACAAAACTAAGGGCCATTTCTCCAGATTACAAAGTCACCTGTGCAACGACTTGTGGGTGCCAGCCGGCACAGCAGAGATTAAGCCCATTTGTTTGTTCGAAAGAGGTTTCGAAAGTCACCTGCGTTTCTTCCCTTCGACTTGATGACTTTGTGTGGCAGCGGGGGGGGGGGGGGAAGGTTTCTCTGTTGGTTGCTTGCAAAACAACAAAAGTTAGCCCTTCCAAAAAGTATTGGAACACATGTCCTTTGACCTTTGACCTCCACAAAGTTTAAGCTTAAAGATCTGACCGAAAGGCAGCCGAAATTCAACGCCCCAAATGGGTGTCTTCTCTTAGGGGGACTCCCAAAAATGGTGGTGTTCCTATCGGATTCCCCTTTAAAACCACCAAAAAAGGGGTACCCTCAAAAAGACCCACCCAAATGCCGGGAATCGCCTGTCAGGCTTCTGGCCCCACTGCACATGGGGAACCTTTGGCTTCGCGGTGACCTGCTGGCAGGGCAGGGTCGAACTGACTGAAACCAGAGCGCGGGACATTGGAATTCGGTCCTGAAACAAGTGCGTATTTTGGACCCTGTCCCCACTGACAGTGGATGATGGAAATGTAGATCAACAACCACTGAAATGGTCCAAAAGTACATCATATAGTTTACCATACTGTTACTCCCCAGTAATATGGAACATATCCTAAGTTTAACCCAGGGATGCAAAAGGGTGTGCATAGTGCCACGGCAAAACTGCAACTTGCAGTTGGGTTATGGTCGGTTAGGGCCCTTGGAAAACACAGTGTGCAGCGGAGGAGCACCAAGGAACTGGGGCGAGGCGCTAAAGCATGTAAAACATGCGCTTCGGCGGCACCGTGTCTAACTTTCACCTGACAATCTTATGAGCACCTGCAATGAGGCCAGGTGAAAGGGAACGTCTATAGCACACGCAGACTGAACATCGGAATTGCAAACCCGTCAAAGTTGCAATGACCCCAAGGTGGTGCGCGTCTGGAAGGCCTAGGGCGCGCCTCCAATGTTCTGTGCCCAAACCTCTGGCCATGAGAAGACATTCAAAGCTACGCCTATGGCACCTTCCCCCGCCAAGGAGCGAGCCTCCAAAAGCAAAGTTAAAGGCAGCCACCTGCGGATTCGCAGGGCGGCGATCGACGGGTTTGCAAAACATACTGGGAGTTGGGAAGAGGGCAGGTGAGAGGCAAAGCCACCAGCGCGTTGCAACGCCTCATGGCACAGAGGGATGCCTTATGGACGTATGCAGCTGCAAGTTTCAAGGGTTCGAACCTCCAAAGAGTCGGTGACAAAAAAAGAAGAAGGAAAGAGCCCACTTAGCCCGGCGAACAGGCTGATCCGTGGGCAACACTACGTCATTGCTCTTTGGTTAGACCGTGAAC